ACTAAATTTCTTTCGAGGAAAATGCTGAAGTACGTTTTGCGACTTCTACGTGCATTGCGCTGCATCCACAAAATCAGTTTTGGCTTGTAATAATTATTAAGATCTCTTGATGTTAAGTATTATCTTTCACACGGGGACGAAGCTTTGTAGGTGAAGTTGATTAAACATAAGCTTACTACTTAAGTGAAAGGAATACCGGATACAGCTAAAAACCTACTCTGTGTAGTAGTGTATCCGTGCTCATACGACTGAAATTGTAAATAGTACATGAAACCCAATCTTAAAGACATGAAATGTGTAAATGGTACTTCTATCTCCGTTTCTCTATTAGCCATTTTATTAAAAGACCAAAATTAAGTGTTGAAAAATGTTAAACGGTAAAATAAAAGCAAAAGAATATTTAAATTTTCAATATTGTCTAAAGGAAGCATATACTCAGCGCTTGTAGCGATATAGAAAAAAAGAAAAGAAAAGAAAAAAAAAAAAGTAAATATTCCCTAGTTCCTTGATATACTGTAATACCTTTTTTTCATTTCTCTGTCTCTCTCATATTGTCCCTAGCTACTTAATAATAGATAAAAACTGTGTAAGACACTAACATAACACTAATAATTTATATACTATATAATTCTTTTCTCCTTTTTTTGTACATACCAATAAAATTTCTTCGTACAATTTAATAAAACTAGCGCAACAATATTACATTTACTTTGTTTCATCGTTTAAGCTAAATGTTATTACAATTTTTCATTTTGTTATTATATGTCTCTCTCTCTCTCTCTCTCACATACACACACACACACACTCAATATGATTTTAACAGAGACTGATAAAGAATTTAGTCTTTAGGTAAGTAAATATGCTTTTATTTGAAAATCCGATAACAAGAATAATTTTTAAATTGATCATCATAAATGCAGAAATTATGATTATGTTAATTTACCTAATTAATAAACCTAATTAATTTACAATTTCTTCTCTTTTAGGAATACCTACTAACATATGATTTTTAGACGTACATGTGTTCGGTATGAATTTCGAAAGGTACGTAGTGTAGCCGAATTCCTCGGTCAATAACATTCTATCAGTATCGATGATAGCCATGCATTCATACCCCTGGCTTGTCTTCACATTTTTGTCATCGTGCGTTTGATCCGCAGCGTGGCTGAGAATTAGATAGCTCTTCTGGTCAATTTGAGCCCTGAAAATGTTACTTCTTGGATATGTTAAATGATGACAGTCGTGCAACGATCCGTAACAACAGGGGCAGCAGACAAAGGTAGCGTTAACTCTGATGCATTGTTGTATGACTAAATCAGTTGCGACGCCGCACGCGTGCAACGACATGCCAATGTCAAAGTATCCTTTAAAATAGTCTAGGTTACATTGGTAAAACTTTATGTTCGTCAAATTCAACTTATTCACCCTTTCTTTGGCTCTGTTCAACGACTTCTCGGTGTTGTCTAACAATATAACGGTGCACTGTGGCAAGAGGTATGCAACTAAGATACCCAAGTGGCCAGAACCGGAACAAAAGTCTACAATTATGTCTCCCGATTTTGCTAACTTCATAACAGGTTTACACATATTTTCTAATTGCTGTTGTTTCCTTCCCGAGCGCGAAGGTGGTAGAGCACCGCCGTCCGGTGTGGCATCGTACGGTACCGATGACCAGTCGAAATTCAATTCTGCACCAAATGGTTGCAAGGCAAGCTTAGTTTCTATGTTTAATACTTTGAATAATTGCAACGAGCACTCCACGTCTTTCTGCCTCGTGTAAATGCGACTTTTTGGCTTGTATCGTTTTGGATCGCGCTTGTACAAACTCTGATTCGGCACGTCAGGTAACGTGTAATTGAATTTCGTCATATTTTGACTCTTCAACGATAGCAAACATTCAAGGCAATCGAGTATAAGCTGATCTTCAAACATTTTCTTATACCATTTAATGGTCAGTGGAAGTAGCTGCATTGTCGTCTCGCTCCAAAACGCAGTCAACAAAATATGAGTGCAGACAAATATAATTATATCTGCCAGAGTCATGTACGAACCTTCGGCGTACATATGCTCTGGTATCCCGTCACGCGAAATTACATTCTCAGCAAAGAATTTCTTCGACATGATGTATTTGTGTAGATTGTGCAGTCTGATTGGCTGCGACATATGACGTTCAAATCTCGCCACACTGGAAGGCAATTCGTTTTGCATTGCATCGTCTGCCTGTAGAAATTTTACAGTTAGTATCAAATCCACTTCGCAAAACTTCGTCCAAATGCTTCCTTCTGAACAAGCGGACAAACACGAGTCCTTGAATCCCAACAACTTTCGGCAATAATGCGTTGGACATTCCGCCACCACTTCTTTGATTATCTTCCGGAGAACCGCGCAAAGGCCTGCGATACAACTGGAGTTGTTTATCACGATAATTGGCAATTCGCATGAAATCGCAGGATATGGAATTTTATTTATATCCATAACTTCATATGCAAAAGTGGAAATGTTTATAGTATATGCTCGTTCGAGAGGCTTTTGTTTGCTTAGTACAAGCTTAATATTAACTTTAGAGTTGCAGTATTTTACAGTAAATAACGTTACTATTGTTTCTATCGGAACTAGGCATAATTCCTTCAACGAATATACTTCCAAATAAACTTCGTTCATTTTTTTTCTTTTTTTTTCTTAAGCTGCCCAATGTATCACGAAGATATAGATAAAAAAAAAAACTATTTATTGCACTATACACTAGCCCTCAGTTGTTTGGCTACTTTTCGTATTATCCTTTGCCTTAAGACATTTTCTCTCCAATAAACACTGATACAGGAAGTTAATGCCACAAGAAACATAAATACTTCAAACTTCCAAAATGCTCTTTCTTCCAACCAAGCTACCCTGTCACAACTGAATCACACACATAGATTATATTTGCTGTTGAATTTGTATAATTCTTTGTACAAAGCTCTTAACACGTTGAACGCCAAAGGTTGAGCAAATTAAATATACATATATATTTATTTATCTACAAATTAAAAATTTAAATTCAATATGTTCACAAACAAGAGCGGAAATCGTTTCTACTTGAGTAGAAAGCTCTGTGGCAAGTTGCATATTCCTCAGAATAACGAGACGTGGCACTCAAAGTGTTAGGATAGGATACACGAAACTAATTACCTTCTCGTTATAGCCTCTCCACTTTTACATTTGACAACTTCTTTGTATCTGGCATGAGCACATACATCAATGCTTTTACTCGCTATTTCAAAAGCAGAACATGGATGGCATTCTGATGTTATCTCATATTCATCTCCAGATATACATCTTGTATTATTCTCAAAGTTCTCCAAATAAAGTTTGTTAGGATTATCAGTCCAATGACTCTCAACAATTAATACCAATATCGTTAATCTGAAATAAAAAAAAAAAAAA